CAACCCTAATCAAACACACCTGAAGCAGCTAATCAAGGTCTTACTTGGCATACTAGAAACTTCCAGGCAGGTGTGTTGAGGCAAGCTGGAGCTAAACTCTTGACTATGATGAAGTGCATGAGACTGTGTCCACTGTAGAGGCGCCACTTTTGGCCATATTGGTGCAGACTACTACCCAACTGTCAACCTTTCAGGTTTTGGAAGTCTGGAATGTTCTTAAATGTCTCTTAAAGGGATAGTTCACTCAAAAATGAACATTCTATCATCATTTACTCACCCTCATGTCGTTCCAATCCTTGTATGACTTAATTTCTTCTATGGACCCCAAAAGAAGAATGTGTTGAAGAACATCGGGTACCAAAAGAAATTGTACCCCACTGACTTCTGTTGCATGCCTAAAAGAACCCAAAGACATTTCTTAAATGAAACTAATAGAGTTTTGGATGAATATGATTCATTTTACAAGACTAATTTCCTGCCCCATCAAACACCAACTTGTAGACGTTGTTTTGGATTAGCGTGTTCACACTGTTGGTATTTGTTGAAGCAGAGTGGAAATCGCAATTGTTTCCCAACATTTTAAATCCAACATCCAACTTTAGAATTTTTGAAATGTTGGTATTCGTTGATGCAATGTGAACTAGCTTAGTTAATGTGCTAATTTAAAAATTAATCTAAATGAATTGTTCATTATTATGTAACCTTATTGAAAGGTCCATGACATTTTTGTACAGGCAAAATTTGTCTAGTGTCTTCACTCTTAGTATTAACTTGTGTAAAAGCTGAATGTCACTATATTTAGGTTAACATTTCAAAAATGAACTTTTTTAATCACTTTTCTTTTTTAGAAAAAATAAACTTTTGTCTGAGAACTGGTCTGACAGCAGTTTCTGTATTACACTGTTTTTAGGAACCTTGTAGGTTTTCTCAGAACAGTTAATGACTGTCTAACTGAGAGCATTGATTATGTTCAGTCACTGTGGTCACTCACTTGCACAACTGAGCAACTTCAAGCACAGGTAGTTGTTATTTATGCTGGTAGACATTAATCCTATTAAAAATGAATGACTTCCAGTTGGTTTATCACTGCAAAAATGCTCTCATTGTGTGAGCGTCCTGTAGAGATACATGGTCCTCGGCTGATAATCACTGTAGAGCACTTTAAAGGAATAAAATAATGTTTGTGATGTTCTACATGATGTGATTTTTAAAACTTTTTTCAAGTTGAATTGTTAAAAAAGCTTGTGCATGAGCCTGTTTTTTGTTTTCTGATGTGAGAGCCCTTTTAACTACGATTGAGTCCTTGCACGGTGTATGATTTTATGTTATTTTTACCATAGTATCAGGACTTGACTGAATGAGGTCTTTGTGTTTTTGTGAGAGCTCTAAGTGATGTCTGCTGAATATTTTATCTTTTCCGTGTGAGGGAGCAAGACGTTGATATTGACTTTACAGAAGCGAGTGTGGACTAAATTTAGGTATCTTTGTTCTAAATAATGTCTGAATTTGAGTCTGGCTTTAAATATTTCACTCAGGAGTGCAGCATGTACAGCTACCGTGTCCTGTGTTCGGTCGACATTATGGACCCTACAGAGCATCTGCCCTACATACTTAAGTGAAATTAACTGTGCAGCAAATGATGGTGTGATGGTTCTCTTTCATACACCTGTTTTGCTCTCTTTATAGTGTTTGTGTGGCAGCGCTGTACTGATGTCTCTCAAGCATTCTGGCGAGTGTTCAAAACGTCTGTTAACATTGTTAAGTATAGTAAACATTAAACTTCTGCTATTCAGCCTGGACTATTTAACATACAGACTTCACAGACTTTTGTTGATTTTCAGCATTAGATGTGTACTTCTGTTAATTCACGCACAGATTTAGAAATGTAGCATCACTTGTTCACCAATGGATCCTCTGCAGTGAATGGGTGCCGTCAGAATGAGAGTCCAAACAGCTGATAAAAACATCACAATAATCCACACCACACCAGTCCGTCAGTTAATGTCTTGAGAAGACAAAAGCTGTGTGTTTGTAGGAAACAAATCCATCAAGATGTTTTAACTTCAAACCGTTGTTTCTGGCTAAAATACGAGTCCATAATATCGCTTCCTCCAGTGAAAAAGTCTGTCCCCTGTTGTCTGTCTCATCAAAATCCACCTACATTTGTTTAGAGCTGTTTTGGACTGTTTTTTTTTTTTGCTTGTAAATGGTGCTTGTATGTGCATATTTCTCTCCTGATTCAGACCAGACATATGGATAGACATTCGAAGTTAAAAATGTTTCGATGGATTTGTTTCTTACAAACACACAGCTTTCTCAAAATGTTACTGGAGTGGAGTGGATTACTTGTGGATTATTGTGATGTTTTTATCAGCTGTTTGGACTCTCATTCTGACGGCACCCATTCACTGCAGAGCATCCACTGGACTGTTAACAAGTGTTGCCAGTCTTTGCTAGTGCTGCTGTTTCCTTAGAAAAACGTGAATCTCATTGCAATTCATGTTATGGTCTCCTCAGGAATGAGTTATTTATAGTGCATTAAAACGTCTGTGTTTTGAGTACTTGCTGATCTTTTATTCAGGACTTCTGCTGTGTTTACAGCGGAAACATGCTGTGATCCATCTGTGTGTGTATGAGGGAGAAAGAGAGGCCAAACACACACTGGTAGTGCTAATGTCCCTAATACATGTTTAAATCAACCATATTTGGGACTGTAACACATTTTAGTTTAGTTAAAATTGATCTTTTGATGTTCTACAGAGGCATTCATAATTCTAATACTCCTATTGGGTATTCGTGTTCTCAAATCTGTTTTGTTTTATGTTGGATCCTCTAAGAAGAAACACCATAAAGATGCTTTGGTTTGAGGAATTTATTTATTTATTTGGTGTGTTTCATCATGTAACCAAACCAAATAGATGGTTAATATCTTAGCAGTATTATAAGACATTATATATTACGTTATATCCTCCTGGGACCCAGGCATAGACTTTAAATATAATATTTTGTAATTATCATTTAAATCTGACTAACTTTAAAATTGTTTGTCGTAAATAAACCTCTCTTACACGTCTTACACATACATGTCTTCTGTAGAGGACACCAGGACAAACAGCTGTTAATCAGGCATTTTGGGGAAACACAACAAGAAATTATAGATCAATATTCCTATGAAATATGAGATATTCTTATGAAAATGTTGCCAAGTTATTACTCCCATTATAACACTTCTTTTTTTCATTATGGTTTGCCCCAAGAACACATTAATATGCAAATTAGATGCAGTGTACAGATACAGTGTATAGAATGGGAATACCAATTTATGGGCATTTTACGCACATATAAAGTACAGTAGTATATCAAATCATCCTGTTATATCTTTCATAACATAGTTGAGAATCATCTTTGTACAAAGTTTGGTTAAAAATAGTCTGAAACCTAAAAACTGATTGGTGAATGAAAAAATAAATAATTGTTTTTGCCTATACATGCCTTTTCATGTCTATTTATTGTTTTAATAACTTAGTCCTGGCGTCCTCTACAAAGGACATAGAATAAAATGTTTCTTCTCCATTTGTTTCTTATGCTCCATCCAATGTAATGACATACAAAAACAACAATTCACAAAACATTTTTTTCTGGTTCTCAGGAGGACAAAGTATTATCTAATGTTTTAATGATTGAAACACACAGATTTCCATGTTAATGCACAAGAAAGGCTAGGAAATTCTGTTTCAGTTGGTTTTTAAAGACTAGTCATTTGGGTATTTACATGGTACTTTTCAAAGAACAATATGGTACAAGCTCCTAGACCATAGCACACGTCCATGGTACTTTTTTTGCTAGTTGTACTTTTGAATACTTACACCTCATGTATGTGTCACTCGTATGTAACTAGTGACACTCAAGCACTGAAAGGCATTTCACAGAGGAAAGAAATTGCTTAAACTAAAAACTTGAGCTACTTGTGAGAAAAAGATTTTGTCCCTCCATCCTACTGTTGGTCTGTGGTCTTAAATATAATCTTTAATAAAACAATGATTCGTTAATTATGAGGTGTAACAAAAAAATAATAATAAAAAAAATCAGGGACCGTGTTTTTTGTTTAAAAATAGTCTGAAACCTAAAAACTGATTGGTGAATGAAAAAATAAATAATTGTTTTTGCCTATACATGCCTTTTCATGTCTATTTATTGTTTTAATAACTTAGTCCTGGCGTCCTCTACAAAGAACACAGAGTAAATATCTTTTTTCAAAAATGTTTCTTCTACATTTGCTTTTTAATGCTCCAACCAATGTAATGCCATAAAAAACAACAAAAACTTTTTTATATAAACGAACAGAATTAAAACAAATCAAGGAAATCGGAAACCGCTCACACACCCCCTCATCTGATTGGACGAGTGGAGGTCAAAGTCGGCCTGTGATTGGATACTGTTGTGAATAACCTTCTGCGTACGCTACAGAAATCGAACAAACGCATAGAATGGTGTTTTGGGAGGGCGGGGCTTAGTAGCTCGGACGCTGTCTCTGATTGGTCAGGTAGGATGAGTCTAAATAGTAATTTCCTCCCTGTTCATTCTCCACTCCCTAATTTCCATCCAGTGTCTGTCAAAGTTTCTCTGTGCCATTATTCCGGTTTTAATTACTATCCAGACCCGCTTCTGAAGCGGCACGTGACGCCTGATACCTGTTACTTTTCTAAGCGCTGCTCAGGATCGACCAATCACAGCCGTTTGCGTTATTCTGATTAGAGTTACTCCAAAATAATTTCGTAAACATTGCCGCGGAGTATTTCCTTTGTTATCTCAGGTTCAAATTAGTTGAATTAATCGATTTAACAGATTATAGATTTTAGTGTACAAATGTCTTCACTGACATAAAATACACGGAGGTTTAACTGCGGCTTAAATTCGGCTTTTGAGCCGCCAAGCGCCCCCTGGAGCAGGACTAGTTTATCGGTCACCTGAACAATTTAACTAGTAGCGTCTAGGTTTTGACACACCTTCTGTCACTCCAGCTGGACGGGAGACCGAGTCGGACACTGACTTTGACAACTTTGTCAACTAAATGGTAAACCTGCTTATTTGCAGTAGGTAAGTTGCTGTAAATAGTTTTTTATGTTTATAATAAGCGGTGACATTCAGCTGTTTTGACGCATCAGGTGAAAAAATGTCTTCACTGACATAAAATACACGGAGGTTTAACTGCGGCTTAAATTCGGCTTTTATGAATTAAATCAATCAATTAATTAAATTATTTTACTGTTTTCACATAATACAGGGATAAAGTTAAATTAAGGTTTAGAAAAGAGCACAAGTGTGGCAGGAGTAAAAAAAATAACCAAATAAAAATAAATATTCTTGAATCAAAACTACAATACATTTCAAATTAGCAAAATAAAAATATTTTTTAGTATTACTATATAAAGAAGAAAATCTATTTATATAACTGCTGTGTGCAATTTAAATCATTCCTGTGCATTTGGCAACATTAACATTCATTGCAGAACATGGTCTTGTTATGATGAAACATCAGTGTCACATGATCCAGTGATTTCACTTTTATGGTCTTGTGCTGGCATGTGTTTGGACACGAAACGCATGTCTCACAAAGGTCAGCAGTGATGCACAGTGCATGCATGTGAACTTGGCCTCAAGAGGCCACTAGGGGTCATTCAGGTCAACATTCACGTACAGACTTCAATGAATAATTTACATTTAGACATTTAGAAGATGCTTTTATCCAAAGCCACTTACAAATGAGGACAATGGACGCAATCAAAATCAACAAAAGAGCAATGATATGCAAGTGCTATAACAAGTCTCAGTTAGCTTAATGCAGTACAGGTAGCAAGTTTTTTTTTTAAATAATATAATAAATAAAAAGAAAACAGATAGAATAGAAAAAGAATGCAAGCTAGTGTTAGAGGCATTTTTTGCTTTTGTTAATCAGAAGTCAGAAAGTCAGAATTATAATAGTATAATAAATAATGTGTGAGAAAGGCAGAGACTTGGTTGAACACAGCTCGTTCTTTCTTTTTTTAAAGGACGTAGTAGACTTTTCTTCATCAGACGTCCCAGGTTGGGGTCAGGGATTTAGCAAACACCACTAACTATAACTTTAATTTTATCCACAGGAGTCCCATCTGAGGAACAGAAGATCGTCTCAATGTCCGTCTCAGCCGTCTCATTGTCCCGTCTGCTCCGATGCAGCCTGTCCTCGGTGGGCTGGAGCGCCAGGTGTGCGTGTATGCGTGACCCGACCATGCCTGGCGTCCGGTGGAACAGCACTCGTCTGGACGCGGACGGAAGCGGACGTCCAGCCACGTGGGATTCCTTTGGGATCTGGGATAACCGGATAGAGGAGCCCATCCTGCTGCCTCCCAGCATCCGCTATGGAACCCCCATCCCTCAAATCAGCCTGTCCAAGGTGGGCTGCGCCTCCCACATCGGCCGCCGGCGCGACAACGAGGACCGTTTCCAAGTGAACAAACTCATGCATAACGTACTGTACTTTGCCCTGTTCGACGGGCACGGAGGACCACAGGCCGCCGACTTCTGTCACAAACACATGGAGCAGCACATCAGGTACAGGACAGAGTGACCTTCAGTTCAGTTAACCCTTGTATTATGCTAAAATTCTGGTTACAGTTTTCCAGGTCAAATAGACCCTAACTGGATAAAAAAAAAAAAATCTCACTATGAAAAAAAAAACCCCACAAAAAAAAATCTGCAAACTTTTAACATTAACATATGCACATTAATTTATTTATATATACACACACACACACACACACACACATATTGCAAAAACAGATAACTCCGTTTTTTTTTATTTTCAAAAATCATGCTTTTTATTATGTTATCATGTTTTTATTGTGTTTTATTGTGTTAGTTAGCTGTTTTTTTTAGTAATTTTTTAGCTTAATCAAAATAACCCAACTGCAATTTGATTGAGATTAATTGGAATGCACAATGAAAAAGCAAGATTCCTGAGAATTGTTAAAAACGGAGTTATCTGTTTTTGCAAATGAACTCTTCATATATTTCTCAAACATAAAAAAACTTTTTTATTTATTTAAAATTTTGTTTAAAATTCTTACAAAATAAGTAAATTTTAATTAAAACTAAACTAAATTAAAAATCTGGTAAAAACATTAATACTTGTCACTGATTACAAACAATTAGGGGTGTGACCAGATCTCGTGGCAAGAGATCTCGCGAGATCCGATGTGTCTCGCGAGATCTGACTGGTCTCGCGAGAACGTTACGATATCCTCGCGCAGACCTTTCAAGATATATTTGCATTACACTGGCTCGTTCACAAGTGGTGGTATGCAAGATATTTTGTGTTCACATCAGGCAAGTGGCCGCATGATAAGCGGGAAAATTACGCAGTGTAGTCTTTATCCAGTCATAAAAACAGAATTCACAGTTTAACGCGGAATGTCACGGAATTTGTCAAATTTTGAATGAATTAATCAAAAGTAGGTCATTACACTTAAATCAAATCACGATATGGACTAGTATCTGTAAATATTAAGCCGCAAAAATCTATTTAAATATGAATCCTGCATGTTCTGCCTGTCTCTGTTAATGAATGGCGCAGACGCGCGGTTTCATTTACTACACACACACTGAAGCGAGCGTGACACTCGCGGTGATTTCAGCGTCTGCCGTCTCACTAAATGTGGACGTAAACACATGAATCATCTCCAGCTGCTCTGAGAGTCATTTCATGAGCATTTTAGCGTTTGATTTGAGTAAAATTAGCGTCATATCTCATACACAGAACTGTAAAGGTATTCACGGCAACCCGTCAAAATAAAAGTCCGGTTTGATTTGAAGACATTGTGCCTATAACTATTTTTCAGTAGAATGTACATAGCCTAATACTACTACTACAAAAATTCATAAGGCTACTTTAAGAAAAAAATGAATAAATTAAGTTGTTTTATGCATTCAAATAATTAGACATGCTAAAACACAGAATTTGGTAACAATAAAAAATACAAATAATATGGTGAGAAAAAATAAAACATTTCATAGGGCCCTAAACATGTAATTTTTGTTAAACTTTTAATAAATTGATGTGAAAATGTATGTTTCATGATTTTAATTCATAAGAATAAAAGACTGTTTTTCCCTATATATTTCATCATTGAGGATTTCTTTTAAAAAGTCTAAAAATCTCGTCTCGTCTCGTTCTTGTGAACCCAGTCTTGTGTCTCGTCTCGTCTCGTCTCGTGGGATAAGTGTCTCGTCACACCCCTACAAACAATACATAAATAAGTGTAAGTACATGTTTTTAAATACTATAATCAAAACAATTAGTTTTTTTAAATTCAAAATGGGAATATTACAAACAAATGTAAAATATTTTAAAACTAAATTACATTTAAAAATCTGGTAAAAACAGTATACATTTAACATTAATATATATATATATATATTAATTGACATTCTTCTCACACATTAAAAAAACTATAGAACATGTTTTTTTAAACCTGCATTTAACAAATATTTAAAAGAAAGTTCAAAATGTGAATGTTATAAACAATATTTTAAATATCTTAAAAAAAATAAAAAATAAAAAATAAAAAAAAATATATATATATATAAAAATAAAATGGACAAAAAAATAGTCCGGAAACCTTTCTTGAAAACATAAAAATGGCATCGGTTGTGTCATACACCAACAAATACAATTTTTTTATTTCAAATGTTACTTTTGAACTCAAATTCACACATTTACTAAAAAGTGTGAGTATAAGTTAAACATAATTAAATCAAGACTTACCTGTGTTGGAACTTGGTGCTTTTTGTTTAAACCATTTGTTTAAAATATGAAATAAAAAGAATTAATAAAATATGCCTTTCGAAATCATAATAATTACACAAAGTTTAATGAAAAGTAAATGTACAGTGTGCACACCAAAAACAGCACACATTGTGTCAGTCCATTTTTAAGACGATATTCTGGAGTTTTGCTATTTAGATCTAAATATGGATTGCATTAAAATATCTTCTAATACCTTTGTCCACGTATTAATTATTCATGGGATCTCAGAATGTAGAAAAAGAAGAGATTGTTTTATAGACGGCCAGAGAGGCTTTGCGCCCATTTGAGTTTCAGACGCGTTCAGTTGCTTCTCGCAGAATCACGGGACACGCGGGAAGCTGCAAGAAAACAAGGTAAAGATGTGCAATATATGTTGTCCCTTTTTTCATACATATAAATAGTACACAAGGAATAGGAAACAGTAATTATCTTTTTTAAAATCAGTTTTGAATGTAATTTTAAGATGGATATTTGTTGTAACAATATTTGACTTGATTTGGTAAAATACATTTTTTAAAGAAATATTCCTCAAATAAAGGTTTTTTTTGTTTGTTTGTTTTTTTACGTTTGACTTCTCACACTTTAGTGAATAAATAAACATGAGCACGTTTTTTAAAAACTGTATTTAACAACTATTTAAAAAATACAAAATGTGAATATTATAAAGCATATTTTAAATATATCTATTTAAAAAAAAAAGAAAACTAAATTAAGTAAACATGTAACATTATGTATATTAATTAACATTAACACTATTAATTAACAAACGATAGAACATGTTTTTTTTTTTTTACTTATTTAGCAACTATTTAAAAAATACAAAATGTGAATATTTTAAACAGTATTTTAAATATTTGGCAACAATTAAAATTTAATTAACAAACTGGTAAAAACAGTAAACCGTTAACATTGATTCTTCTCACACATTACAAAAAAATTAAAAAGAGCATATTTTTAAAAACTATTTTAACACCTATTTTAAAAATGTGAATATTATAAACATAATTATATTATAAACTGTTTTTTAAATGTACCATTTGTATTTATTTACATTAATTTTTGTGTTCTTTCCTGAAGCTCATTAGAGCATATAGTGCTAGCAAGATCATGGGTTTGATTTAATGCATGAACTGATAAAAATGTATGCCTTCAAAACCGGATACATTTCATTTTCATGTTCATGACCCTAAATGAGAAAAACATCCTAGGTTAACTAGTATTTCCAACAACTTGAAAATGCATTACAGGTCAAACTGACCCGGGATCTAATATAAGGGTTAAAAATACATCATCGTAAATGAAATGAGGATTTTGTGTTTTGTAGGGATTGTTTGGAGGTGGAAACAGATTTACAAGCAGTTTTGTCTAAAGCGTTCCTGCAAGTAGACGCAGCTTTGGCTGCGGAGCTGCAGATGTACGGCAACGGTATGAAAGATTAACATTTCTATTTATGCATTTGGCACACGCATTTATCCAAAGCAACTTGCATTGCATTCAAAGTATTCATCTACAGTGTTGGGGGTAATGTAACGGATTACAAGTAACACGAGTTACGTAATCAGATTACCTTTTTCAAGTAACTAGTAAAGTGATTCAGTATTCCTCAAAATTAATAAAAATAATCAGAATATGACGCAAACCTGCAATAATTAAATGTTAAACAACACAAATATCCTTTATCTTTTATATTTGCCAAAAATATAACTTTTTTATTTTAAAAACAAACAAGCGAGCCGTGTCCAGATTTAAAAAGTAACGCAAAAGTAACGTAACGCATTACGTTCCATAAAAAGTAACTAAGTACCGTACTTAGTTACTTTTTTATGGAGTAACGCAATATTGTAATGCATTACTTTTAAAAGTAACTTTCCCCAACACTGTTCATCTATCAGTTCATGCACCCATGCACACTTCAGTAAAGTGTGTTTATGCATGTGGTTCAGCCTCCCTCATGATGGTGGGCACGACGGCGACGGTGGCGCTGTTGAGAGACGGGATCGAGCTGGTCGTCGCCAGCGTCGGAGACAGTCGAGCTCTGCTGTGCAGGAAGGGAAAAGCACGCAAACTCACCGACGACCACACGCCAGAGAGGAAAGATGAGAAACACAGGTACACACACACCAGCGCTTCAAGAATAACATCATCTGGTATGTGTAGTGATACGAGAGCGCTCTGCGTATGCGCTATTAATAAACGCAAAGACCTGCAACTCACATTACGGCTCCCGTCTGTAAGAAATGTGCATGCAGTGCTACACAAGCGTTCGTTTGGCTATGTGGTTATTTACAGAGCAATTTCTGTGTATCGGTTAAATAAAATTACTGTTTTAAGTTACTGTTTGGACACAGTACTATGCTAATAACATGCTTTTCGGGTGAAATACCTTGGCATAGCCTGTAAATGCCAATAATCAAACAGTAAAAATGATTTGGACACTGAAGGGACACTTAAAATAAATGTCCCGTACAAAATACAAAATATTGAAATCAAGTGTCATATTGTGTCTGTTTGTGGTTAGCTGTTATTTTAGTATTAGTTATATACTATTAAAGTTTTTACCTTTTATTTTTTATAATGAGTTTTTACTTTAATTTTAGTTAGATATTTTATTATGTGCTTTTGTAATTTTTATTAGTTTTTCTTTTTCCTTTTTTATTTTATTAGGTTTTATTTTTATTTCAATTATAGCTATTTATTTTATTCATATTTTGAATTAGGTTTCTATCTATCTATCTATCTATCTATCTATACACACACATATAGGCTATATTCCATTTTCACTTTCATTTTAGTTTTAGTCATTTTGTTTTTAATATTAAATATGCCTATATAGTTTTTTATTCATTTTTAGTTATAGTGAAAAATATTGCCTTGTCAACTAGCTAAAATATATTTAAATTGTTTTTATGGTTTTAGTATTAGTTAACTATAATAACCCTGTTGCCAAGACAGCATTTCTAATTTTCATTTAGTGTGTTTCATCTAACTCTTATATTTTATTTTATTTGAAATAACAAAAATGTTTTTAATAAATTTAATCAGAAATGTTTCTTGAGCAGCAAATCAGCATATTAGAATGATTTCTGAAGATTATGTGACACTGAAGACTGGAGTAATGATGCTGAAAATACAGTTTTGATCACAGAAATAAATTATATTTTGCGATATATTCACATAGAAAACAGCTATTTTAAATTGTAATAATATTTCACAATATTACTGTTTTTACTGTATTTTTGATCAAATAAATGCAGGCTTGGTGAGCAGAAGAGACTTCTTTAAAAACATTTAAAAAAATCTTACCGACCCCAAAGTTTTGATTGAGTGTATATCGATATCACCAGTTGTAAGTAACATCTGTGTGTGTGTGTGTGTGTGTGTGTGTGTGTGTAGAATTCGTCAGAGTGGTGGGCTTGTGACCTGGAATAGCGTTGGTCAGGCTAATGTTAACGGCCGGTTAGCAATGACCCGCAGCATCGGAGACTTCGACTTGAAGAAGAGCGGCGTGATCGCAGAACCAGAGACCACTCTAACTCTAGTACGCTCTTTTCACATGACTTCATTGCATAATTTCAAAATAAAGGTCAGGCCTTGAAATTGTGCTTTATTTCATTTTGTGCCATTTCAAATGTTTAATTGACATGAAATGAAGCTTAATTTTGGTGGCTGTGTTTCCATGTGCAGAATTTGCCTCTTAATCAGTGTGAATCTGCTCTCATTGTTCTGTAGTTGCAGCACGCTCACGACTCTTTCCTGGTTCTCACCACCGACGGCATCAACTTCAGCATGACCAACCAGGAGATCTGTGACATCATCAACCAGTGCCACGACCCCACCGAGGCGGCAAACGTCATCGCTGAGCAGGTGAGGGGGAAATAGTCTGAAAAAGTCAAATCTGACGCGGAGCTATAACTTTTGAAGCACAACTAATGCCGAGTTCACACTGCACGATTTTCAAAGACGTCGCGTCACTGTTGGTTTCACACTGAACGACTATCTGGGGTAGCATTCAGTTGTTGCTGTGTTCACACTGCACGATGGAACGACGACAGGAGGGTACAGACCGCATGACTTCACAATAGGAAGAATCGCCGACAGCTCTGTCTGGTGCAGGGTTGCCAGGTTTCGCTACAAAACCCACCCAATTACTACTCAAAACTAGCCTGAAAATAGCCCAATCGCTTTCGAGGGGGTCCCCCAGTAAAAATCTGGGGTCGCTTCAACCTGCTGACATAAAAAACAACCGGCGGCAATAGTGGATTTGGCAACACTGGTCCGCAAACTACGTTTCATATAACTCCTCCCCGAACTTCCCGCTGCCCTGTCTCTTGGTCTCTCATTGGCTGTAGGTCATCGTGATTGTGAATCGCCGACAGCTCCAGATATTGAGCATGCCAAATATTTCACGGGCGTCGGCGACGTATCGGCGATTCCCTCAGATCGCGTCTTTGATAATCCACACTGCGTGATTGTCACTCGTGTGAACGAGCACCGATTTGCCTCCGATTTCAGGCATTTGTCGGCGATTTCGCAAAACCTGTCGGCGAGTGAAAAATCGGGCTAAAATCGTGCAGTGTGAACTCGCCATAAGGTTCTTCAAGTGTGTGTTTGTGTTGTTCAGGCTCTGCAGTACGGCTCGGAGGACAACAGCACAGTCATTGTCGTCCCGTTTGGAGCCTGGGGAAAACATCAGAATGCAGAATACACGTACGACATGAGCCGAAACTTCGCCTCCATCGGCCGCTGGTCCTAACGGCGGTCAAAAGATCATGTCAGCATGAGAAGAAACGCTCCCAATCAACAAGCACACCACTCGTCTGTGTTCTCCGAGTAAACAAACCAGTCTGAAGATCATGAAAACAACTGCTCTTCTGCAACTTCGCATCCAAAAAGAGAGTAAACGTGGTGGATTATTTGGTTTATTGTTAGGGAACACTCATTGCATTAAATAATTTAGTCATTCGTTCATGAAACATCAGAAGGATGAATTCTGTGTAAATCATGTCAACACTGAATGAAGCCCATCAAACAAAAGTGATAACAGGTCACTGATTAGATTCATTAAAATCTAGCAAAGGGGTCGTTGTATTTTTATTTAAGGGTCTTTATAACTGCTTATTTATTGGCTGAAACTGTATGTAATTATATCTCAGTGTTGAATACACCAACCCATACCTGTGCACACCCATTCAATAAATAGTTAATATAATAATAATAATTATTATTATATTAAATAGTAAATGATAGAATTTTTCTTATATCTTTAGTTTGTTGTGTTTCGTATTTTGAACAATTGACTGGTTTTATCTGACCAAGGGTACATTTACATGACAATATTACGTAAAATGGAAAAGCTTTTCATTTGCGTTTTTGAAAAATTTCATTTTGACAACGTTGTCAAAATGATCCACGAAAACGACCACTGACTGTATTATTCATTCTGAATGCTGTATTATTCATGCCAGGCCAGTAGTTGGCGATGCAAGTAGTTTATTTGCACTTTAAAGGGGTTATATGATGTTGCTAAAAAGAACATTATTTTGTGTATTTGGTGTAATGAAATGTGTTTATGCGGTTTAAGGTTCAAAAAACACATTATTTCCCACATACTGTACATTATTGTTTCTCCTCTATGCCCCGCCTTTCTGAAACGCGTCGATTTTTACAAAGCTCATCGGTCTGAAAAAGCGAGGTGTGCTCTGATTGGCCAGCTATCCAATGC